ATTTCAGACCCTGGACGGGAGTAAATGAATTCTAATTCCAACCTGAGTCTCAGACTGACGGCAGGATAGCGACCACCTCCAAAAATAGGCATGTTGGAACCAACCAACATGTGGATATCCTCGAACGTCCACATGATGTTACGCACAAAGTCGTTTCTTAAACCCTGTCAAACAAGTAACAACAAAGTATATATTAGATAAAAGCTATCATCTGTAGTCATATAGCATTAAGGAAGGGTGAAAGTTGACTTACCTGACTGTTCTCCCCTTCGTTGAACAGTGTAGGGAGGTTTTGCTCTTTGGGTATAGACGTCACCTGGCCCAAAGCAAACTTGCTGTCCATAGAAACACTTTCCTGCATATTTTATAGCAGCAATACTGTCAGTGCAAGCAGTGTAACCCAAAGCACTCACACAAGCTTAGCAGTCACCAAGAGATACTTCATATCAAAAAACGTTGATTACTTATTTGCTCAAACATTACTCATTGAATACAGACAGTTGTGACAGCACAAACGGTTTCTTCTAACTCCTAATTTTTTGCACATTTTATTCAAATTTTCTGGACACTTTATTATATTATTTGAATTTTTTTTTTTTTTTTAAATTCTTTTGGAGATTTCATTAACATGTTTTGAAGAGAATATTTTTCTGGCATTTTGATATTTTTTTCTGAGATTTTATAAATGTTTTTCAGAGATTTTTCAGTCCTCTTATTTTATTGATATCTATTGGAGATTTTCTAGACCTTTTATTAATACGACATTGAGATTACTCAGACATTCCTTGAATTTAATAACATTTTGGGAGAATTTTTGGGTCATTTTGATTTTTTTGTACCTGCTTGGGAGCATCTGATTCTTCAGTGTCAGACGGTGTGCTGGTGAAGGTAGTGGGCCATGAAGAACTGAACTCCTCTGCCCCATTTTCCTCCTCCCCTTCAGTCCGGTCGTCTGGTACAGGCTCTGCAGCCCCATCACCATTTATACTGCAGGAAACAAAGTGATGGAACCAAAGTGTTAACAGATAGTAAACCCTACTTGTTCTTTTCTATTATTAAAGTAACACCAGTTAACTCACCTGTAGTAGAGGAACTTTGACAGGATTGCTTTCTGATACCAGTGCTCTTTACTCTTCTTTTTCCTCTGCCATTTCTGATCTATTAGCCGCTGGTAAAACTCTTTCAGCCATGTCCAATCTCCTGTCTACAAAACACACATAGCAGAGAGAACACAATTACTTAAAGCACTTACTGTCATGGAAAATTTCTAAAAACATGGCACAACAATCCTTGTTAGGTAATACTGACTATCTTTGATTCGTAAAGGTTCTTGCTGTACCTGAGAGGACCTCATGAAAAGTTCTTGAATGTCCAGCTCATCCAAAAGTAGGGTCCTCCCTACGCGGTGAACAGCCATACTGACGTGGGACTTGCTGTAGGGGATTTTCAAAAGCTTCTTGATGTTCTGAATTTGACAGAAAACAATGTTAACATCAGCTGAATGTGCATGTTTCGGAAACAAAGAAAGAAATGTTTGCTTTGCAACAGCTTCACAAACCTCCGAGTCTGACACCACGTCAACATCATCCCCGATACAATCAATGAAGTCATAGGCCATCCCAAAACTACAAAAGAAGAAAAGGTACTTAATCACATCAGTGTTTGCTTGATTAAAGATTTAGTAGTTTCAGCATCCATGGTTCACCAACTGATAACCACAATATTAATCCGGTTGATTGAGGATTATTAACACTTTCAGATATGCAGCGAGAAGTTATCCAGTGCTTCTCGCCAGTGGTGTCTACACTGTATTATGATATTTAGTGCATTCTGACCAACAACAGAGACCATCTGCCAGCAGGTTTCCACAATTAAGCAGAGCATAGAGCGTGACGCTTTCAGCCTCTAATACAAACTGTGACTTATACTCAACAGGTGTCAACAGTAAATCACATCTAAAAACACCTCATCTAATATTTCCTTCCCCCTTATTGAAATAAATGGGGTGGACAAAATGTCAGAATTAAAAATCTCTCAGTATAATGCAACGCGGATCACCAGCATCAACAACTACAGACACCAAAATTACTATACGGTTGAATCTCTACTCCTCTCTAAAACAGTTTCAATAAAACTTCATTATGTTTATTGCAGGGCTGCTGCATTAGACTGCATTAGTTTTATCTTGGTGTATACGATAAGCTGTCAACAATGAAGATCCTTTAAAGCAAAGCACTTTAGTTTCTAGGGCAAAGGTAGAAACACAAATGTGAGTAAAATTAAAGCCAAATTAAACGCCAATCCAGCCTGAATGTAAACACTGGAAACACGATTAACAATACGTTGTGTTTTAAAATCCATATTGGATATGCCTGGTAAATTCAGCACTCAGTGTTGTGTGAGGTTTTGAAGACTATCTAGCCTTCTGACATTTAGAACTAGGAACTAGAAGAATACGATATACATAATGAGAGACAATGAGAGATGGTTTTCCCATATTATGTAGTCTAGAGTTTTGGCCCATTGCCTGACCACTAACTGTGGGTTAGAAAAGGTGGCACACTTGTTAGAGCAAAAAGGATCGGGACAGTGCGTTTCCTTTATTTTGCATAACATAATCTCATGCTAGAGCAATAAATATCAGTTGTAGCATATAGTATTTTTCGTGATGTTATACCTGGAAAAAGGCTTGCTCTTGCTGCTGGACCCTAATATAGTTGTGCCCGCACTGCCCAGCTGGGGGTTTTCTCGCAGCCAGTTTGCAGGAGGCAGCTTCAGGTCTGTCTTCTCCTGCAGCAAGGCATAGCTGGTAGGAGGTGGGGCAGCAGAGTACTTGACCACGGCACGGCTCTTAATTTCAGTGTTGCCTGAGCATAATGCAGAGTCCTACAAAATAACAAAGAAAAGCATTATATCATAAGTTAGTGAATACGACCAGAGAACACTGACTGAAATGATGCAGAAGACATTGTTCCTCTGTTCCAATTAATACACTATTATTATTGTGAAAAATGCCCATCATTTGCCTATTTGCTGAAGCCCAAGTTAATATGTAAAGTTTTATTTCGTGAAAAAACAAAAAAGAACATAAACAAAAACAGTCAAAAACCCAAAGATACTAGAAACTAGAAAATATTCACATTTGCGAAGCTGGTACCTTTTGAAAATCTCACATTTCTGCTTTGAAGAAATGCCTTCAATGATTAATCAGTTATCAGAATTGTTTACTATTTGACTCATCATCTGGTCATTTCAGCTCTAGATGAGACCCTCTATAATGAAACTGCCATGTACATAGTTGGTCAAAAGGTCAATCCAGCCCTACTTCTACATGTGGCTTAGGCTGGTAAACAGTTGTCATGAGTATTGTCTGTGACTGCAGGTGGCAATGACTTTAAATATGACATTATAAACTACTCTCGCAAAGTGTTGCATCGAAAGACAGTTTGTTATCATCTTAGATAATAAACAAACCATTTTTACAACCTTGTTTTGTGCTCAGTCTGGTTACTTACATGCTTGCTGTTTTCACCTGTGCAGGTAGGGCCACTGATTTCTTCCTTTGCATTATCCAAGGGGACCCCAGGCTCTCTGTCCCCAGCTGATGCGCTCATACTGGACACAGGACCGTCAATCCAGAGAACATTGGCGATTTCTTAACGACTAAACAACCTATCCATGGCCTGGACAACTCACGGACAATATCTACATTAGTAAGATAACGGGCTAAATAGGTCAGTTATGTGGATAAAGTTAGTGATGTCTCTAGTTAGCTACGCTAGCTGGACAGGCTAGCTCCTCCAGAGAGCAATGCTAACTGGTAGACCTGTAAAAAAGAGAGTGTAGTTATATAACACTGTCGTTAAATTAAAGCTTTACACACGCGAGAAGGAAGCCGTTGTTGCTTTGTTAACCTCAGTAATGTTTAGCCCTTATTTTACTCGTTAAATAAGCTTGTAGCTTCTCTTTCCATCAGACTGTTGTCACAGCACACGTTAGTGCCAGCAGTGAGCAAACAACAACTTCCTGTTTTCACTCCAAAACCCATCTTCTTTCTTTTTTCAACCATAGGAATTACTCCGCATTTTAGAAAAAAAATAAAAAAGACAGGTTTTGATAGTTAAGTTAGTAGTAATGTAGAATATTAGCTTATGTAAGGGAAAAATATTTATGCTGCAGCGACTTATTGAGAAAAATGTATGAACCGGAAGTACTTTCAGAGCTGTCAAGTCCTCTTTCGAGAAAAGTTGAGCACATTCTGCTCTGATGAATTTTATTTTGAAATTTACTGAGAGGTCGTTAATGATTAAGCTGTACCACTGCCTATTCTCAAACGAATAATGTAAGAAGTTGAAGGTTATTTCTAGACAACTGTTGTGTCAGTTAAATTGTTTCCATTTTCTACTACTTTATGTTTATGCTCCACAACATGTAGAAGGCAAATATTGTACTTTTTACTCCGCTACATTTATTTGACAGCTTTTGTTTCAAGTTACTGTGCGGATTCAGATTATTTATACAAACTAGTTAAAGTTACCCCACCTTTACCAGCTGCAATAGCAGGGGTGGGTACATAATAATTAATGCAACAATAACTACAATCCTGAAATAGTGTCTGATGAGTACTTATCCTTCTGATAATTTAATAATTATTTTAATGCTAATGCTTAAATGTAGAGTTTTTACTTGTACTTCTTCACTGTGGCATTGCTGTGTTTTAAGATTTAAGATTGGGTATGATATTATTTTGTGACATTTCTGCTCTGTTCTGGTTAAAAAGAAAAAAGAAATAAAATGCGTGTTCTGTAATAGATAGTAGAGCTTGGTTGTTTTGTTTGGGGTTTTTTTCATTTAGAAAAGTAATTTCTTCTAACCATATTATATTATTTTATATTATATTATATTAGACAGGGGATAGGATCATGGGATGGGATCAGAGGTTATATCCAGCAGGGGTCTGTCAGCTGCTTACTGACTGAACAGGGAGGAGGAGCTGTGAAACTTTGCTGCAAGCCGTTCACTCCTCTGCTGTGTCAACGTTTTAACAATCATTTCGCCCTCGACCTCGCCAAAGTGATATGTGTTGTAACGTTAGAGCGGAAGACAACTAAAGCCGTCGCTGTGGTACGTTTGAGGACCGTAAACGCCAGACTAGTTTAATTTAGTACAATGGGAAGCTGGAAGAAACACGTGCGCGCTCGACTGCTACAGAGAGACCAAACTGAGAAACTCCCCTATGTTGGCGTTTTTACAAGCTGTAAGATGATTATTTTACTATCTCGGCTTTTGCAGTGATGATGTTCTCGCTGTCTCTAAGGACATTTGTCTGTTTTCTGTTAGTGTCTCTGCTGGAGGAACGTTTTGAAATTCGCAAACAAATTTTGGAAGAAGTTCAGTCTAAGAGGTTAGAAATACAGAATTTCGCTTAACCTGCATGTGACTTATCTGTCGATCTGAATTTATAACGCTTCATTGATTTTCACTGGTTTTCATTGTCAGTTTAGAACGAGGTGGAGTTGAAGTTGGGAAAAACACCAGACTTCTTCAACTCCAACTGAGAGAGAGTGAACACCTAGAAGAAAAGGTGGGTTAAATGAGGAGTAATCTAATGATAAAACCATAGCATCAGCCTCCAGTTATAGCAAAGAAGTTTCAGCTATTATTTAACTGTATAAGCAGCAGCAGTTTGGACAAATATTTGCTATAAACCTCAGGCATACATCTGTTAATTAGAAATTATATGAATTGATACCTTTGGGTGCCCTAACCATGTAAAATAATCATTAGCCTACTATGGAAATCAAGAAGTTAGATTACAGCAGGGAAACAAATTGGCCTACATGTTCCTTCTTTGACTCGTGTTTGCAGGTGTTGACCTTTGAACTTGTGAGATCCATTATCCACCGTTAAGTCAATTTATTCTTTTCTTTTTGTCTCCACAGCTGTCTCAGACTGTCTCTGACCTGACCACCGTCTTGTATCTGAAAGAGGCTGAGCTACAGTACTGGCAGTCACGGTAATTTCAGGTTTTCGGTGTACCACTGCACAGTGTAGGCCAGTCTGTGCTTTCTCTTAACACAACTGAGACAGACACAAATTTTGGGAAATTGGGGGGGCCATCTTATAATCACGCTGGTCCTATACTTGGGTCAATACAGCAATAATGAAAGATTCAGCCTCCCTCTCAACCCAATAATTTTCATACAGTCCCATACTTAATATCCATGTACTAGACGTTATGAAGCATGTTGAAGAAAAGTTATTTTCAAAGACGACCTTCCTGTAATTACTATATGTATTATCAAGTGATTAAAATGATGTTTAAATGGTTACTTTGGGTGTATAATCAAGGAACTTGATGTATGTATGAAACAACCATCTAGGGTTGCAGTGCTGCTTCTTTGTATTACATTTAACAGGGTTAAATCATACAGTGTAAGCAGAACCACAAATCAGTTCCTGCATTTGTGGCATCTGTTGCACAGTGGGAAGCATAAAGAGGTATAAATCCAGTTTAAACCCCTTGGTGTATGAACTTGTGACCTACAATCTAACATCTAAAAGTCTGAAGTAACAATACCACAAGGCGATCAAAGGTACAATAAATAACCATTTCATTACTTGGCAATTTCAGTGTGTCCCAGTACCGTCAAGAGGCACTCACTCTGGCTAAAGGGAGTAACACCCTGAAGGCAACCCTTTCAGAATTTGAGTTCAACATAGAGTGTCAATCCAAAGAGCTTGGAGCCCTGCGAACAGAGCAGAAAGGACTAAAGGAAGCGTTGGCACAGGCTTGGAGAGAGAAAGAGGAACTCTTGCAGCGATGGATGGAGGAGAAGAGGGAGGAGGCAGACAGGTTGAATCAGTACAACGACACACAGGAAAGGTAAGACAAGTAAATGTGTGATCTGTGTTTAACAAAGGCTGAAAAATAAGTATTTACTCACTTGGTATGATAACATAATAGTTGTGGAGATTTTAAGTTGTCTGTGATTTCTGCTTTTCATCAGGTGGCAACGTTTGGCCAAACACCTGAGGAAGCACCTTCATAGGGAAATGGAAAAGAGTATGTTCCCATAGTGACAGACCCTTGGAGTGCTACGTCTCCATCAGTCATTCAGAGTAAGAGTCAGCGTTCTCTTTGAAATATTAATTCTTAATGGAAGTAAATGGCTGTCTTTTAATTTATTAACATTACTTCACTTCAGTGCTGCACACATGAATCTTTGTTAGCACCAAGAGCCTTCATCAATCATCGTTTTGACCTTCTTAATGAAGAAGGTCTAGTTGATAAGGTCAAGACAAAAAGGGCTTTTTCACAGTGAATTGTTAACATGATCAACAAAGCACTAATACCACTGATGAAGAACAATTTGGCCCTCATCAATTACTTCAATGGGCTTTAATAATGGTGGAGGAAGAATTCAGATCCTACTATAACTGTAGTATATCAGGAAAAAATACTTAAATTATCAAAAGTAAAAGTACTTGATATTAGATATTACATCATTGGATCATTATTACTATATAACTTGTATATAGAGCAGTTTACTGTTGCAGCTGGTTGAGGTGGAGCTAGTTTGTAATTATTTTATATAAGGCTGCAAATAATGACTAGTTTCATTATGGATTATGGATTAATCTTCTGATGATTGATTGATTGATTGATTGATTGATTGATTGATTGATTGATTGATTGATTGATTGATTGATTGGTTTTTAAAACTTAAGAAAATAGTGAGAAAAACACATCACAATTTCCCAGAGCCCTAAATTGACACCGTCTGACACCTGGCTTTCTCACCTATTTGTAACTATTAAAACAATTACAAGAAAACAATCTCAAATCTTTGAGGAGCTGGAACTGTAAAATGTTTGGCATCTTTGTACTTCAACTTCAAAAGTTATCAAAATAAAATACTAAAACGCAGTACCTCAAATTTGTACTTAAGTACAGTACTTGAGTAAATGTATTTAGTTGCATTCCACCACTATTAGAAAACAGTACCAGAGTTCTGCTCAAAGCCAGTCACCCCAGTGAATAAGTAAATAAGCCCAAGAATCTGACTGAGCTTTCAGCACTAATTTTTAACACTCTGCTTGCCCATTTTAGTCATTGTATTTGATATCCATCCCTGTAAAGGACAGAATTTTATACCTGGTAGTTTGGATAAGGCTTTTACATAACATATAAGAGAACAGTTAACCCTTGTCAGGACCCTCAAAATGATATTGTGTAGAAGGAATGGGTGGTCACCTCCTTGTCCGTGTGCTGAATGTTACCTAAAACATGTAATTCAACCTTTATGTCATGCTCATCTTGTCCTCAGGGATCAGTAATACCACAGATATACACCAGCGGCACTCAGACAAAGTCTCAGCGGTAGCAAACGTCTGATATTCCGTTGGGATCCTGGAGATGACATTTCCTCAGTGCTTGTAGTTGAAAAACTCATTTCCCGCACAGAATGTGATGCCAGAAATATGGCCAGGGACTACCTCTTTGAAACTAGAAGTGCGAGGACTGGTTTGGAATTGTTTCTCATCTGCAATATGTTTTTTTGTTTTTTTTTTAATTTACTTGAAAAGTGATTTAAAGATCTAACATAACCTCTAAATATATTGTTAAATTTGACTTTGTTAGAGTGCCTAATTTTACATTTACTGATTTAACTAAAATCCCCCTTTTGTGAAGTAATGTCTGTTGTTAACGCGCCACATCTGGACTGTTTGACACCCCTCACTGAAGACTATATGGTGTTAGTAACCATGTGCCTTTTCCATTGTTTATTAACATAGAAAATCATGTGAATCATTTTTACTTATGTCAAAAAGTGTGTTTGAAAAGAAACCAGGGATATTTTAAAGGTTAAATTATAAAATGGCATCTGTTTATTAGAAATGGAAAAACCAATCACTATTCCTGGTGAATATATTATTGTAAATGCATTGTTGTGAAAAATAAAGTTACTTAATGTTTTTTTTTTTTTTTTTTTAAGTGAATTGCCTCTCTGTTGCTTTGTCATCCATCAGAGAAATGCATATTTGTCCTCAGTTGCTGGACTGCAGGAAAAATAAGACAATGAAATCCCTACTAATCTAATATTCAATAATCAATTTTGAGGTTTATTTTTCTTCTCTTTGATTAGTAGTATAAGTCCCAATTATTTCAAATGTTTTTTTTGTTTTTAGTTTTGTTTTTTTGTCAGAATTCCAGTTCCACATCTCCATGGCAAATTGAGCTCAGATTTCAGGTTGTTTGTAGCATGTTTCCATAGTCACCAGTGTTTGCGTTAACCTAGTTGTTATGCATGTGTGTGTGTCTGTGGTGTGTTGGTGAAACCACTCAGTGGACTCAACATCTCAAAGTGTCTGAAAATGGTAAAAGGTGGGAAGCGATACTCTTCAATGAGCAATGATGGCAAATGGGTGAGAACTTATTAATTTTATCTCATAATTAGAACGGATCATTACAAATCATAGCATTCAAACCTGGACATGTAATTAGCTTTTCTTTTATCTTCTTCCCAGTTTGCTCATGCAGTTTTACCTGAAAATGAGACAAGGAATCGTGGGACTTGTACAAGCACCGGGATCATGCTGACTCAGGTTAAATCGTCGTTGCCTCAGGCTTTGAACTTTGAACGCTATCCTAAATGGAAAACTCAGCAGGTGTGTATGTGGAGTAGATAATGTAGTGTTTGGCATAAGTGTTCTTTTTGCCACAGTATTGTTATGGACCGGGGCTTTGAAAGATTTCATTGCACTTCTGCAAAGGAAGAAACTGCCTCCTCATTTTATCTCATTCCCCTGTATTCAGTATTAAACTCCCTTTTTCATGGGTTTCTTCACAGGAATCCAGAGAGTATCCATTCTCAGACCATGACAACAAGAAGTCCTTAAAAGACAACATCTCTGTCTTCACTCATGTGAGTATGAAGAGAAATCCACGGCATAATGAAATGTTCAGATCGATCACTTCATCACACCTCGAAAGGAAACCATATTTTAACAGTATCATGGTGGTATACTTCAGGGTGTGGGACGCAGGAAATGTTTCGATGATCGCAGACAGCACAACTCCCACTTCTGTCTGTGCCATGATGGAGCTGACGGTGGCACTGCAGAGGCTGGGGGGAACTTCACAGCCTACCAGACCGACTTTATGGTGAAGCGGGCTGTTAATGTTCCAACCAGCACCAGACGGTTCCCCCGCAACCACAAGCAGAAGTCTGCAGAGGCGGCTTTAGCACAGGCAGAGGAGCAATTCATGTGGTTTGGACGACATGACTCTGACCTCTCAGAGACCCTAAAAGTGCTGGCAGCTACAAACTGCTCAGCACCTTCCAAGCCCTAAGATCCTCCTACATTCAAGGCAGTAGATGACATTATTGAGAGGACATAGTACAGAGAGTCAGGTGAACTTTCTGAAGAGTCCTGTTGTCAAATAAAGAACTAAATTTAAAAAAAACATCAGATAGCATTTTGAGAGCTGTATTCCAGACAGGGGAACCTTACAAACAAGGTCTTATTCCACAACAACCATAATTAGACTGGAAAGTCGACTGTTAACAACCCACTTAATGTATATAAATAGTGCATGTTGTTGTACTTAACATTTGCCACTTGCTATTTTGAGACATTAAGTTGCATTTAATTTAAATACACTTTTACACACATACTCTATACAAATTTAACTCTTCTCTAGCTTCCAGTTAGGTTATGTTATAAACATATTTAAAGGGGCACACCTCTGATTTGACATTACACTTTTATAAGTTGGGTGGCTCACAAACAAAGATTAAAAAAAGAATCCTACATTTCCCATAATGCAACTCAAAAGTGTGTTTGATAAACCTTTCTCTGCCTAGTAAATGCACAGGCAGGGAAAGTCTAGCACTCATAAGAAAAAGGGTACTTGAATATACTTAATTACTACTTAAAGAGTACTCCACTGATGCCTACATTACCCACAATGCAACTTGACCGCCAACAGCTTGGTCATGGGTTTGGGTGTGTTATGCAAGTAGTGGCTAATATTGCCTCGAGCTGCACGCCTCAAGCAGAGATGAGGAGCAGGTGACGGAGGTCTGGTAACCTCACTTCTCTCTGGCTCCACACCCCCAGATTTTTTTCATTTTTGAACTTGTAGTCTTCAGACCCAGCTGCTGTTGCCTCAAGTCATGTCACTTGAGGCATTTTACCACTTTTTTTCACAGTGCCCCCAAGATGTTTTAACACCTCTCCTTTAATCATGTCTCAAAAAAGCATTGTCAAGTGCACCATAGTACAGTCAAGTAAATGTTAAGTTTTACTAATTATAAATACAGTAAATTAAGTTAGTCGCCTGTGAAAAGTAGTACGTAAATCATAAGTGCGTATACTTTTTGTATTTTGTTTATATCAGGAGCCACTGTAGCGTCCTTGTCAAGACTGTTGGGAGTTCACAGTTTAGCCAGCAGAGGGCAGCAGGTCTGCATGAGTTATCATTTGGCCTGTGGATCCACTGAGTTGTTCAACAGCCAACTTGTGTGAGAAATGTAATAACCAAAACCCCTGTGTAATGTGTAAGCTCTGGGAGAGAAAATGTGGGGGGAAATAATAAGAAGAAAAGAATTCAGCTATTTTTATTCAATGCATATCAACATGATGACATTAAATTAGAGCATGTGAAATAAATTAAGCTTGATTTGAGTCATAATGCATGGGTTTGTTTCACTCCTGGGGATGAAAGGGATGGATATATGTGTGTGTGTGCCACCCATGCAAGAGAGGAGGAAGCGTGGGAGCAAATGACAGAGAACACTGCTCAGAGAAAAGCACTTAAGAGAAAAGTATCCCCAACCGCTCTCTCCAATAGCTGATGTTTTCTCAAGAGAATGTTCTGACCAGCTGCTTTCTTTCTTTAAGTACTCATCAGGGAGATGGGTTTTTTCTCACAAGCTTTCTTTCAGCTGTAGTAATTAGCTGATCCACATACAGCGCCGACCTTGTCGGAGTTGCTTCACTTTTAAAAGGTGAAGTAGATCTCACGGTTTTTATATAGCAAGACAAGAAAGCTGTGAGACATCCATCTGGAGCAGCCGCCCTTTGTGATTTCACTTTGAGATTATCTCACACATCGCTGCCAAAAAAACTGATCCTTGGATGCAGGTGCACGGCTGACACCAAGCCACTGAGCGATGGGTTTTGTGATGACCATATCTTTGAAACAACAGAAAAAACAGGTGCGTGGATGAAAAAAAAAAAGAAAGAAGGCTACCAGCTCTGATTTAACCCTTTCCTTGCCATGTCACTGAAACGGGAGCCTAAACATTTTTGGTGGTGAGCCTAAATCACTCTAAAACACTTTCAAGAGGTGTAGCGTTGTTGAAGAGAGAGAGAGAGAGAGAGAGAGAGAGAGAAGTAAAAAAAACACCTGTTTGGATTTGACAGTATGTTCTGTCTGGTGTCAACTGGTTGTCTGCCACCTCTGTCCCTGTGGTTGCAGTTTGCAGCCTACAAGTTACTTTAGACTTGCCACAACTTGCAACAACTCCTCCACATAGAAGCCACCAACACTTCATAATCAGAAACTCTCATTAGCCCTGTCAGAGTAGCAGCGAGGCTTTTAATGCTTCACAAGGGAGTGAGAACTCTTAGGAGAGCACACTGAAATGGTGCGTCAATCATGAGTTGATGTGTGGTGGTGCGCACCGTACGTATATGCCATGTTAGGTGAGATGTGCGTGTTATATCATGTAGGGGCAAAACCGAGTATATGTAAATACAGTTTCTTCGTGGAATATCAAACCTTCTCCCAAGGACAAAAGACACATCTCAGTAAACAAGCATTCAACCACCAAAGCCTTGCACTTCATGAATATTAAATCAGACACTTTGAATCCTACCTCTTTGGTGTTAGGAGGCCCTAGCCTGGATTCTTACCATTTGCTGTGATTTATTCGCAGGTGCATGTCTCTCTTTGATGTGTTGAGTTGAGAGGTTTTGCACCTGTTAGAGAAAAAAATGCTTTGAAAACAAGAGGTGGATTTGCCAGACAGTCAAAATAACAGCAACAGAAGGAAGATTTGTGTTGCTATGGCACATTGTGTGTGTGTGTGTGTGTCTGTGTGTGTGTGTTTTCTCTTCAAAAAGGCTGCTGTGCTGTTTTGACATACTCTGTTGTGTGCACAGCAAAATCACTTTTTGTCAAACAAAATCTACCTTTATTTTTCTCCTGTCACTTTTGGCATGTGTTCTGACGTTACGAAGTTGTGCATTTTGTCCATTACCTATTCATTAAAGATGTGACTTGAAAAGAGAGTTGCCATGGAGATGCTGCAGTTAAATCACATATCACAAAGATTTTTTTTTTTCTGTTGATTCTTTTGCCAATTATAACTAACGTCTAGCTTTCCTGATTTCTTTAGATTTTCTTTTTCTCTCTTCTTATATCCTTTTTAATAAGGCATCAAGGTCCACGGTATGACTTTTCCTCATGTGTAACATTTCATCTTTTTCAGATGTTCAGCATTCTGTCCAAATAACAACTGCAAAGTCCAAAACAGCCTTCAAGACATAGAGTTAAATCCCCCGGCTGGGTTAAACTAGCTAACAGTAAGTCTCCTTCCAATCTTCTGTCAGACATTGAACTTGCAATACTTCCAACTCCCTGGCAGTCTCTTTTTTCAGGCAGCCAGTTGGTTAGTGTCCCTTGGCAGCCGAGTGGTCCTTGTTCCTGTAATGGTCAGGGGCCCATCAGAGTCTGAGGGTGGTGATAAAGGTGGCTGGCTATCTCATTTCCACAGAGGACATGATAACATCCTGAGAACATTCCCATCACTCGAGGAGTTTGTTCAGTGCAGATAAGAGCTCCCCTGCTAAAGCGCTTTTGCACTGCACATGTGTGTGTTTAAATGGAGTACTTTTGAGCTGGTTAGCTGCAGTCCTGCTCAGGCCTGCCTCCCATGTTGCTGCTGTGCAGTCCACCATCCTGGCATCGCGGCATTGAGCAGCACTGCAGAAGCATTGCCTCAGAAGATCAGACCTATCCTTGCACTAAATCACATTCCTCCATGTATTTTTCAAACCTCCGACACAGTTTGCATGCTAATTTGTGTGTAGGTGGTGAGTATAATTACATTAGGCTGGTTGTAAACAAAGACCTACAAGCAGCCGTCTGTTCAAGTATCCCTCCCGAGAGAGAGAACAAGAAAATAGTTTATAGAAGGTTGGATGAATCTATCATGCATACATTATAAGAAGAAAAACTGTATTCCACACTGTGTCAGTTTGTAAGAAAAGCTGTTATAGCTGTGATCAATTCGCAAAATTGTTCTAAATAAGAGTAAAAAACATTGATTGGTTTCATTTATGTCATTTTTCATATTTCCACAATGCCATGTTTTTCTAGCAGAATCAGTCTCATGGTGTTTTGTTATATATTTAGATTAAGGAGAAACAATGCAGAGGCAACCTTGAGGCAACAAAAACGGACACTTCTATCCTCCGCTCAGAAACACAGGTCTTAGCTCAAACAGTGGCTCACATTGGCTTTCCACATTTTACAATATTACCAAGTATTTCATCACTACTTTAGAAGCTCCACCTCTGAGTTTCATCTGGTCTGCTCCCTCATAACCTCACCATCACAGCAATTTAATCTCATTAGTCAAAATGGATAAATCTATTCCAATTTACGGATCAGGAGCCGGACCACACACACCCAAGAGGATCTGCGTCTTTATGCTGTCTCTCATACTTGACCAAAAGGAGGTTGTTATTTCAGAAACCTGATGAAAAACGTGTAAACAAGTCAAGGAAGTCACATTTTGAGGTGGTCCGCTAATTGGAAGAGACAAGTGCAAATGAAACAAAGAAATGCTCAATTTACAATTTACCTTAAATTCTGCTCCATTACATACCATATCTACAGTTTATATAGTCAGCCTTGGAAACTGCTTCAACCTCACATAAACATTCACACTATTCTATTTCATGCTGTAGGAGGAAGCAAAAACATCCTGAGACCTCACAACAAGTCTAATTAACTGTTTTCACACTTATTCTCCAGTCAAAGGGGTAAATCTGTCTCATTTGCATTCTATTGGAAGCATAAATATAAGACACCGAAGGCATATCAGTGTCTTTTAAAGGCTACCATGACTGTTTCAGAAGCCTTAACGTAGTGGAATATAATTAGATGTGAGTGCGGTCAGAGGGGTATTGTGTGGCTTTGTTTGAATCATATTGTGCCATCTCAAACGCTATGTTAAAATACAATGTGCTGCTGAACTGTATGCACAATTTGTGGAAGTGGTACATACAGTACAATGGCACATTTTTATACATCTGACATTATTACTAAATGTAAATTACACTCCCATGAGCTGCTCATTACAATATCCCATATGTAGAGTGTGCTGTAAATTGTTCAATTCTGTATTAACACGATCTTCACTTTTTAGCTGTTGATAATGATAAGTGGTAATGTCAATGTTAAATTTGCTGCACTTCCCTTTCTCAAAGAGGATGAAAGATGTGAATTGATGTGAAACGTTAATGAAAAATCACAGGTGGGGTCACTACAGAGGTAGCTTGGTTATCCATGGTGACTTAAAGTTATTCTGAATAGTAACATATTATTTGATGGAATAAAAGATAGATGAATAGATGGATTGTATGAATAAAGATCTTCACAGTTTGTTTTGATATTAGAGAGTGCAAAGCAAAAGACCTGTGTGTTATAGTACGCGTGTAGGACCAAGTAAAAGGAAATGATATGCAATAGAGTGATTTAAGCATGAGAGACTGATTCAAGGTTGCAGTGAAATATTCATTCAAATGAGGTAAAGAGTGGAGCAGCATAAGAATAACCCGTCTTTAAAGATTAACATAACCCTTGGAGGTGTTATTGTATCCCTGTAACCAAGTCAAGACTTCAGCAGGTGCAGAACAGCTCTCCCTCTCTGTGAGTTACTGCATTAAGTCCCTCAAATTTAGTAGCACAATCATGAGCCTCCCGTTCACTCTCTGGAGTAGAAGAATCGCTTTGCATTTTAAAAAGGTCAAACACTCAGATCTCTGCCAGAAGGAATTGAGGGAAGAAATAATGTCTCTCTGCAGAAATATGCAGTTGCACACTACTGATCCTCTCAAATACCCACTGTACAGTGAACAGATTAAAGGTGTGTGTGTGTGTGTGCATGTGTGTTGACTGTCATCCTCTAACAACTACTGTATAAACAAAAGCAAATCATAATATCAAGCCCTAACGTTGTGAACATTTTAATAATCCACAGCACTGTATTGGTTTAATAGAGCCAGATTCTTATGCTAGTAGCAGGAGAGTGTAATAAAAAAGTGGGACATAGTGTAAATCATATACTGCATGTATTTATGTTTCTAATCAGTTTTGCTTTTAAAATGTGCAGACAAATAAAGTGAGGTGCTTTACTAAGTGACCTATAGTAAACACAGCAGAAGGTAAGCTTATAATGAGCAAACACAGCCTTTTGTTTGATTAAATCTATAACAATAAAGCAGATTCTAAATAACACTAACATTGAAAATGACACAAAGAAGGGAATAAAAGATAATTCTGCCACATATGGCTATTGAATTTATGATAACAACATATGTAGGTTACATACTTCATTATACATGTCATTTTACATAAT